CTCCACCCTCTCGAAGACACGGAGCAGGTTTTCAGCCAGCGCCGCCTTCACCTCCTCCTCCGTCCAGTTCCTCGCCAGCAGCTCAGCCACCAGCGCAGGGTACGTGGAGACGTCCTCCAGGCCGGTGGGGACCCTGTGTGGGGGACAGGCACCCACCTCCTACACCACACAAGGGAGACCCTCCCACCCCCATGACGAGTCCTCATCCCACCCCATCCCCAATTTTACCCGTCTACCCCATCGTAGTCCCCGCCAAAGCCGACGGACCGGGCCCCGGCCACCTTTTTCACGTAGTCCATGTGGTCTGTGGACGTGGAGGGGCTGGGATGAGTGGGATGGGGGGGCATTGCCACACCCTTTGCCCACCCCGGTGCCCACCTCACCTGCGACATCGGCCAGCGTGGCCTTGTCCCCGCACGTCACGTATGCATTGTAGAAGTTGACCATCACCGGGCTGCCTGTGGAGGCCTGGGGATGGGGGGACACACGCAGCCCTTAAGCCCTATAGGGCCCCATTGACCCCTTCCCTGCCCGTGGCCGTGCCCCGGCGCTCACCACCATCCCCAGGACGTCGTCGGGGACGTTGCGGCGGTGCTGGCAGAGGGCGTAGGCCGAGGAGTGGCTGAAGATGACGGGGGCTTTGGAGAGGCTCAGCACCATCTTCATGGTCTCCACCGAGACGTGGGCCAGGTCCACGATCATGCCCAGGCGGTTCATCTCCTCCAGCACCGTCTGCGGGGACGGGGATGGGCCTTGAACTGGGGGACACCGTGCACCCAGAGCACCCATTGCTGGGCTTAACAACCCGGTGTGGGTGCCAATACCACAGTCCCCCACCCCGGCCATTGCTGCCACTGCCAACCCCGTCCCCATTCACCTTCCCAAAGGCCGAGAGGCCCTCGCCCCCGGTGTCCACCAGCCAGTTGTCAACCCTGCGGAGCAGGGACAGCGTCAGGACACTTGTCCCTGCCCCGCCACCCTCCTGTGTCACCCTCTCCCCATCCCCGTGTCCCCCACCCCAGCGGTACCAGGGGGTGTTGCAGCTGTGGGTCAGGGTCATGTAGCGGACGCCCAGGCGGTAGAAGGT